AGGAAGATGTAGCTCTTCTCATATGATAAACATGTTCCTCCTGTCACCTCCCAGGCAGACAATACACATAATTTGCTGGGCCCACTCTGCATAAGATTCTACAAAAGGGGTAAGGAGTAACAAGACTTTCTGTTGAGTAAGAATTTTTCTTTTCTGTGTCTGAGGGTTGCAGTGGGTCTTTTACGCAGTTTGCACATTCTGAAGATATGGTATTCTTGTCTCAAAGAGAAGTACTGTAGTTGTGCAGGTGGTCCCTCATCTGTATCACTCCCCAGCTGAGGGAATCTACAGGAACTGCTGAATTTATCCTGAAATCAGTACAGTCATACACAGGTGGAGGCCAATCAACTGCTTTCTAGGAATTGTGAGTCAATATTTACTGTACCGAAGCATGTAATATACTCCAGTTAGTTGGAAAAACATGGATGTCATATCCTAGAAGCTCAGTGGAGATTAGTCTGCCTTATACTGTATAACAAAGTACTGAAAAACAGATGACAACAGATATTTACAAGTTTAAAAGAATAATAGAAAAGGGTTCCGATTTTTAAAAGAAGAGTTCTATTGTGAGCTACAGTGATTCGAAAAAAATATTCGGACTCTTATTTTTTCCTTTAAGGTCACAACACCTTCACCTACTCCGCACATTCAAAGCAAAAAAAATACACACTGAAAGAATTATATAACTAAAATGAAAGAAAAGTGGAAAAATCATGATTATATTTTTGTAACGTTGAGGTGGCAAAGTTAAATTAAGTGCAAAAATATCTTAAGGAACCACACGATTAATTGAGCAGCCTCTTAATTGAGAGTTAAGTAATTCACTCTTTAACTGAACAGATCACTTCTTTAACTAAACAGGTATTCAGGTCTCCAGGGATTTACTCCAGAAGTTACTAATTTAATGGCTACCTACTGTATAAACCTATCAGGCAAGATTCAACTCTTCAGGACCAGGGTTGGATACCCCTGTTTTTTACTTCATCTTTACACAGTATGTATTCAGTATTAATGGAAAGCTTCATGTCTGATAATGTCTTTTGGATTTCGTCTTAAATTGAAGCTATATGATCACCTCTGGTATACCCTTTATGTAACCACAATCTGATTTGATACAATGTTACACCAAGCTGAAAGCAAAAAAATCTGTAAAGGTATACAGTAGCAGGACCTGAAAGGTGGATTATGGAAACAGGAAGAATTTTAAATATGTGAAACACATACATATTGAAACATATCTATGGATTCAAACTGACCACACCTTAGGCTTAGAAAAGAGAAAAGAGGTCCAGTTGGGAAAATGAGTTTGGCGTTAGAATGTTAGAACGTATGGTAATTGCTAAATAACATAATTGGTAATCACCTATGTGACATTAAAAAAATAGTGGGAATGGATGTAGCACCTAAAGTCTTCTATGTAATTGTACTGTTTTCTGCTGTAACATTAAATCACAAGCATATTGAAGCACTCTACATAAACATGTCTCTGAGAAGCTAACTATTACAATGTAGTTAAATCTCATACTATACTGTAACTGTAGATGAATGCTAATATACAAGAGTTAAGAATACATCTCAACTACTTTTAAACAATTAGATATTGACCTCTGCAGTAAGGATTATTTGAGCTCATCGTGAAAATTGAAACAAAGGATATAAATTACCCATAACAAAAATTATATCTCTATTTATGTAATGTTTGCATTTTTAAATTTGCCAACAACAACTATACCTTACTCTTTTCTTTAATACCTGTCTTCCCACCTAACCTTTGTTAAATTGCAAGCAGCTGTTTGGAACAAGACTGTAACATAAAATTACATTTATTTTTATCAACCACATCACCTTGTTTAGCTATTGGGATATTAATGCTTCAAAACAAATGTCTCCCTTAATTAGTGTTTAAGATATGACTCCTGTATTGACATCGTTTTTTCTTCACACCCACAAGACAAACAGTCTGATTTTCCCCATGGGTAAACTCTGTGGTCTGTCCATCTAGCGCATTTACTGTAGAATGGGCAATTTGCCCAGAGGGAAAATAAAGACCCAAGTCACTTGGTGATCTTGCCAAGTGGCTAACAAGCAAGATCTATACACTTTTAATCTAGCGGTGGGAACTATTCTTCTATTTCATATACAGTTCTCAAGTGCATTACGAACTGCCTGACCACTATGCCCTGCTAATATAAAATGCTCTTTGAACCTGCTAAGTAGTGTGAGAATAATGTGAATAAAATGTCTTTAATTTTGAAACGTTGGAACATATGTGAAGGAAGGGCATAATTATATATTTTTAATGTTATAATATTATTGCAGCTGACTGGCAGGGAAAAGAGTTCCAATAGGAAGGCCCATCACCATTATTTTTTGCCTGTGAATGCTTATATTCTGAAAACATTTCCTCAACCTCCATACTTATTAGGGTCATGGAACAATGGGGGGTTTAGCATACTCTCTTAAAAAAGTTTGTGTACTACTAAAAAGATCAGTAAAAACCAAGTAAAATACGAAGACTTGCTACATGATATGCTTTGCTAGAATTCATGCAGTATTATTTTGGATATGTTTGTTTTTCTTTGTTTCAGTGTTTCTAAGATACAGTAGTCAACTGAACAAATCTGTAAAAGGGAAACGGCATGACCTTGATTTTTGTTATTTTGTTTAAACAAATGATGTAACACAAAGTTACGGCCAATGACAATGGCGCAGGTAACTCTAGTCTTATCTAATAAAGACTTAGAGCCAATTGTTTTTTTCCAGCCAAACTGTCCATCCCTGAAGACCACTAGTCCCTAAGCTTGCAGAAGAGGAAATGATCAGTCTCAGGAATAGTCAACAGCCCATGAAAATGAGCGCAATGGAGCTCGAGTCTTGATTCAAGCTTCTCAGAATCCTAGGGGCGTGTGAATACTGAACTGGCTGGATTTGTCTCGTTACGTTGCCATATTAAAATGTTTACAGAATCGTTTCTGTGCTCCAGGGTTCTGCATCTCACATCACGTAAGCAGTTTTATTTCACAATTAATTTCATTAATATACTGTACATTACTTCAGTACATACAGTAAAAATTTAATGTGAAAACAAATCTCACAATTTTAATAATAAAAATTGACACTCATTAAGGTGATTAGGTCAATGAAAGTCATTTTACAGAATATAAAGTAAAATCAGCCAAATTTTCTTTTTTATCTATTCTTTCTTAATTGTGAATTGCACTATATAATCATAATTTTATTGTGTTTGCAAAATTGAAATTGTCAACATTTCACAGGAGGATCTATTTTAAGGGAGATGAGTATCTCCCTTAAAGAGGTCGTGTTTACCTGTCAATAAAGATCCCATGGTACTGTTGGAAAGAGAAGGGATATTACAGCTACAAAAAATCCATATACAGTACATCCAGTTACATTGCTGGCACACAATTGAAAACACTAAAGTACATTTATAGACAAATGGGTGATTTGCTTTAGGATTAGTGATATTTTAAATATTGGGGCTTGGAGTAGGGTTGGAATACATCAGTGTATTCAGATTGAATATTGAATGTATTGAATTAGTCAATCCCACAATTTGTGATAACATTGAACTTGCCATGTCTTATCTTGTGCATACTGTCGGTATTCTGCTACATGCAAAGGCATTGTTCTGAATTTCCTTTTCTATTTACACCCCTATGTGGGCATTCCACCTGAAGTCCTAGTCCTTTTGTTAGTAAAAGATAAGACTGACTTCACAGCCAGCAATAATTTGTTTAACCTCTGATTAGGTCCGGGAATGTTAGGCTTCAGGCCTGACAGCATCAGTTGACACCTCAGCAATCTTTCTTTACAGATAATTCCAATCAATGGAAATAACGTGCTCAGGATTTAACCTTGCTTGCTTCTGATTGCAGACTGAAAACCTACTGTTGCTTCATTTTTTTTACCGTTTCATCTTTCACATTAAGCCTTACTTAACACTTTCTCAATTACAACAGACCACAGAATATTGCTTTATGGCAAACATGCAATGATCTTTTATTCTGAGAGTTTTTGAAGGAAATAAAATAGGAGAACAGGAAATGACATGCAAATACTTGATTGACAGTGGTTGTAGTGAGATTTCAATCTAATAAATACAAAGGAGTAAGATCATCACCTCATTAGTAACAATCCCTTATTGACTCTTAGGTCTTGTTAACTTCAGATCTGCTTCAAAGTATAGAATTCAAAATTCAAAAACGGCATTGTATACACAGAAGCAGACACAGTGTGCCAATTGTTTGCCAATTGTTGACGAATAGAACATTTACAATCATGTGTGGAAGAAAGAAAAATTCTTAGCTTTAGTATTTGCTTTTAGAGAATAAAATTGTATGGTTCATAGCCCATTTTAGACTTTTTATGAGCTCCCCCACATTTCAGTAGAGATTTTTGAGCTGTGTTTCTCCCCATTATACAAGTTTCTTGAAGTCATCATTTTACTATTTCTATTGCTACATTGTCTTAGAAAGCCTGAAACCAGAGTGCCTTACGCAGTAGGTCACCATAAAACACTTGTTTCTAAAGACCAGGAACACTTGTAAGGTACTACTCAATTAAGCAGGTTAAAAGAGCATGTAATTGCTCTGTCATGGGAACTCTGGTCTTTGAGCGGTGATCATTTCTATTTAATGTAAAAATGGTTTCCTATATTCCTATTCAAAGTAATGGTTTCCTATAAAACCCAATGGATGGGCTCCATTGGGAACAGGTTTGGAGACACCAGTTATAGAGAGATTTAATTTGGAATTTGGACCACAGCGTTTGAGTGCAGGTCATCCTTGTCACTCCCTCTGCCTACCACATTCTCACATGGAAACGCACTTGTGCTAATTACTCCCCAGCCCTGAACACTTCTGCCAAACGACACCGTTCCTGCAAATCAGCCAACCACGACACTCCATCAATGCACCCTCTTCCTTGCACAATACTTAAGCCCTTCAGGAGCCTCTGTTCTTTACCTGGTATTGGTTGCTCTTTGGAGCTTCCACCTTGGCTTTGTTTCTGTATCTGACTTGCTCTTTATGAACCTTGGAACTTTCCTTCAACCATGTCTACTGTCTGGCCCTCTTAGATTGGAAGCCTTCCCATTGACCTTCACCTTTTGGATCACGGAACTGCCTTTTGACTATGACTTCAGCCTTGCCCTCTTCTGGATTGGAAACCTACTTGCCTACCTTTGGTTACTAACCTCGGAACTGGACTTGGAACTTGACTCTCATCTAGCCCTCCTAAGGTACCGCATAGGGTTCATCTTCCCATTTGCTCAGTGGGTCATTTGTGACCATCCTAGCTTTCAGCCATGTCCACTGCTTACAGTATTTGGCTGTTAACTTGCTGACTATTGTCTGCATTCTGTATTTGCACTGCATTTACTTATAGTGGCATGCCATCTTCTGTGGTGATGAGTAATTACAGTGTGTTCCATCTTTAAATAATGGTAACTTGCTTATCATGCATTCTCCCTGTTCTGTCTTTCAGGCATCTTATTTAAAAGAATGGAAGCCAAATGTCCCCTCTATCAGCTGTTGGCTTGTCCCAGATGTTTACATATACAGTAGTTGTTTATTGGGGAGGGGGGATAACATCTATATAAGTAAAAATTGCAAAGTCATGTTTTGATTTCTAAAGTTCACTTTAGAAATGCTTATCCATTGTAAGCTGTAATACACATCTATAAAAACAATATTTATACATTCTTAGTGTCTAGAATTGTTTAACGAATATGTGATACTACAGATACCTAAATTAAATAATGCAAGAACTCACAAATTCATTTACAGGTAACTGAGATAGAAATATCTTGCACAAGACTAGAAAAAATGGTAGGGACAAATACAAAATTAACAAGTGTATGTATGTTTTTGGTTTTTGGCAAGACAGGCTAGTTAGGGGTAGTGTGGTGTAAAAAATTAAAAATGTACAAACAAGGCATGTTTAAGATCTAGGAAGTAAAATTCTAATGCCTCAACATCGTATGCAATAGAGTAGACCTTGGCATTAATCATTATACACAGTATCACAAAGGAAATGTACACTGAAACTGACAGTTTGAAATGTTTAATGATTGATTTGTAAGGGGAGCTGCTGAATTAATACTCTAATTCAGTGGTTCTCAAAGTGTGGTCCATGGACCACTGGTGGTCAACAAGCATCCGCCAGGTGGTCCGTGGACTGTCCTAGTCATCTTACAGCAAGTCTAAGCAGCTCCGTTCGTCACATGAGCTTTTTAAGTATTAAAAGCATAAGGCATTTTGTTCATACAAATATTAGTACTTTCATAAAATTTAATTCAATATGAATTTTAGTACTTTTTTTTAAGCAGAAGACGGCATACGAGATCTAACTGGGTGACTGGAGTTCAGACGTGTGCTCTTCCGATCA